CCAGGATTCCAGGAAGTGACTCGTGTTACTTGGAATAAAGTGACAAATTAGGCACAGTTTGCAGCAACAGATGAGGCCATGACATTCAAAGACTTGTAGTGGCCCGCGATAGCGCGAATCAGAGGTCACAGGCTCACACGAAGTCGCGCATCTGGTTGTAATTTTAAGATTACTCAGGGGTAATGTTGACCATGGCAGTCAATGCAACCACACTTTCCAGCCACTGGTATGTATGTACTCGATCGTGTTGGCTTATCGATGGTGATTCCGAGGATTTGATGAAGTGAAGGCTACTGACTGCAAGCCAGACATAAATGGTTCCCGTTTAGATATCTCATTATGACTTGTCAATGCTGAGTAGACCCCGGGTCCAGTAAAAACTCGAGATAATGAAAGAAAGTCTCACTTGTATCCAGACCGATCTTTTAGTTGCTTGGCTGCGAATATGAGAGATCATGATGGCACGCATATTGTACAGTATTCTAATTAACGACACGGAAAAGCCACGCAATACTACGCTCACTTGTATAGTGTCACTATGAAGCTGTGATGATCGGAGTTGGTAGTAGCTAATAATACTGATCCAAACATGAAGTTTTAGTAGCCAAACAACCCAATCAACAGGCTCCCTGCTACTTCACACTTTGAATAAGGTATCCAGTGTAGAGTTCTCAACCACTCAACCAAACTGTCAACCCACAGAAAATAGGAATGGGAATGAGCATTGGTTCCATAAAACAACACGCCCGTATCTAATCAAGGTAAAAATAATAATTCATAGGTCGAATGTATAAACGGGTAATAGGTGCAAAGTGTGAAGATGATTCGATCATGTTTGATAAAATCGTAAAACAGAGTAACCCAACGACCCAGCTAGCCCAGCTACCCTCTTGATCACAATCCAGGATACATTGAAGGGGTGTGATTGTTTCAGATGTCCTGCATCACTGGTGCACAAGCATCTAGGCGAGGTTGTGGTCTCTGATGCAGTCCAGTGGGTACGTTTCACCTCGATGAAGACGTTGTCTTAACACAGCCCTGGCAGGGATGTGTAGACAATTGATCCTGTAAGCCGAAAGGATATCCTTGTCTTCCATTAGGACTTACAACTGGCCAGCGGAACACATCGGCATTTCTGATCAAAAGCGGAGGATGGAATCAAAAGAAGATGGCGCAGACGTTGCTGAGTGGAATCCAGCTTAAGGATTCGTCAATAGCTGGGCATTGTTTATCGAACGCTCGTCCTGGGCCTTACCCTTGGGAGCATCTCCCCGCCATGATGTTTTCTCTACGAAGTGATAGTCTAAGTATAGCCTTACATTGCAGCTTGGGGGTTGATCTCTGTAATTAAGCTCTGCCAGTATCGATGTCCGCGATATAAAGTTCTTATCAATGATTGGTACATATTCATCATGTCCAGTTCTCGAACTACATTTGATGGTTTTGTGTGATGTAGTTATTGTGTACGGATATCCGTAATGGCTAAAGGTATGGAGTACCTACTAACTTATTAGGGAGGAAACACATGGCAAAGAATACTATGTACCTACCTACACATGGATTTGATGAACATTTTAAGACATTATTAATTAAGGTACGACCACTGCCTCTGCTCTGTAGTTAATACAGCACAGTTTCTCTACATAAATGAACAAATTTTTATTGTTCAACAAGCATAAATAATGAATCCTATGTCGTGCATATACCACGAGCGATCTATGTACTGTACGAACCTGAGAATATGTACCAGTTGGCAGTCCTTCGAAGGCTCGAAAGTGACATGATGAGCAATCTGCGACTGTGTTCGGTTGGGGTAGTCTCAAGGGAGAATGTGCCCATCTCGCTTCATTCTCCTTATAGATTACTCGTGTTGTGTGCTCGGTTGTAATCAAACATGTAGATAGCTTCCAACCTCGACATTATCAGCCCCTTTTCTTGACATCCAAGGGATGGCCTTAGGCCATCAACTATTGCTTCCATTATGATCGTAGCTTATAATTACCGGCCGGCCACCCACGTTGTAACCGGACTGTTCCTGCATATTAATAATGTGGTGCTAGGTAATGTCAGGAATTACTGTTTTGCGAGGAGTATCGGCCGAGGTATTGAACATGAATTGGCCCCATTTGTTTTAGCAGGAACACTATGACTATGCATGGTATGATGGTGATCTCCGAGATTGACTCTGGAAAATACGATGAGATTGCGGCACTCGCTTGGACAAAGCCACATTCTGTGGTTAGCATCCGTGGGAAACTTTGGCTTCAGAGCTGATGGTAAACGAAAACCAAGCATGGTTCGCCGACAGCGCTAAAGCATCCCATGGTTCAGGCGTTCTTACTAGGTAGGTACGTACCTAGGTAATAGTAAGAATACCTGGTGGTTAGGTAGTGGGTGCCTCAGTACCTTAGTTATGCCCCTCTGGAAAACCCACTCCCTATTCTTCCTGCAAATCGTCAAATACACTGAAGATTCAACACAAGAACTACTGTCCGACCACCGAAGGGAATCTGAAGTGGAAGCACACCTTGCCTACTCGTGAGAAGTTACTGATTGAATCCCACTAGCATCCATGACCGGGCGATGCGTGTGTCGCAATTTCGAGATTAGCTCACAAAGCTTCAAGCTAGACTTCAGGGAGGACTTTGAGATCCAATTATTAGGCTGAGACAAGCGGCACGATGCGGCCAGGCCATGAAGTTATGAACCGACAGTGTTTTACGTTTCAGCCTTTGGGCCCTTGGGGCTTTGTTGTGTACATGCCCCCAGTCATTGTCTCTGTGAATTATAATGGTTGCAAGACAGCAATCAAAGACAAGAATGATGGCCGTTACCCACGTTGCTTAGCTGAATACAACTCTGGATTTGTTTCCGCGACCCTTGTCGATCTTTTCGGCCTCAACCCTATTCCGTCAGTCTCGTCCGACGCGGAAGGGAGCGTGGGTTTGTTTTGAAGCAGGGGCGTGGAATCAACCTGACGATATTATGTATGTACACCTGGTAATCAAGGGAGCCAATAGTGAAAGAATTTGTTGGCGTTGTTGACGTCCCCGTCTTTTCTTTGCAAGCTGCCAGGGAATCTTCCTATTTTATTGTTTTTTCACCTACATTATACGTAGTATTATTGCCGTTTGTGCCTGTCGTAAGTTGGAGCCTTTCGAAAGACACTTGGAATCAGCTCCACGGCGCCTTCCAGCCAGCTCCATACCGGTAATATTAAAGAATGAGGGCGTGCACAAACTAGTACCAATGCTCCAAGCCTGACTCTGTTATGGGAACTGGAGTACTCCGTACTCTAAGTAGAGGCACCATGTTAAAGGTACCAGTATAAACATCATCGGGCTTCTGTTGTGATACTATCTGACATGAAACTGTACAGTACAATACATTACCGTATGGTTAGAATGGCTTATATTTCCCTGCGAATCTGTTAACCCGGGTTCCTAGCCGGACTGCCAGAATATCTAGAGTGGGTGATCCAGTTTTTGGTCTTCAGGGGTTTCTAATCTAGAATAAACTAAAGACAAAAAAGTGTTTGGGTGATTGCTAAGTGACAGGGAGGCGTATGTATAAGTGGAAGAAGGCAAGAAGCAGGAGAGAATTAATGACATGGAATAGAGAGCTATTGCAGGTTCCATCAAAGGTGACCTGAATCCATCCATTGCCCGTTATCGTTGCCATCTACTAATCTACCTACCTATAGGTACCTACCGTAGTTAGGGTTATTTGTTGCAGTGCATAGGTCCCTAGGAATGGAAGCAGAGAGGAAGCCACACTGTGCCAGCTCCAGTACAGCAGAGCGATGAGCCTCCACCTGTTTTCTCTGATTGGCACGCTGAATCATGCTCTGACATTGACTCCGCTGCTCCCGTTGCTGACGAGCAAGCCCTCCACCCTCCATCCCACCTGGCTCCTCCCCAAAAGCACCGTGCGTGGTATGTGGCTGCTCTCCCGCCCTCGCAACGCCGTCGTTCACTTTTTCAGGTTAGCGCGTGCTCTAGAAGTCCAATCCCAACCTAATTGGAACCCACCCCATCTGTCCGCGCGCACCTCACCTGCCATGCCAGGCCCAGGTACTTGCCCTTGGGTTACTCTGTCCTCCTTTCCATGGGTCTCCATCTCTTAACTCATTCACTTACTTGCCTTGTTCTTCCTTTGCCTTACTTGCTACCTAGACCCATCGGCGCGACATTCCCACACAACATCTCATTAAACCCCCGTATATCCTCGCTCGCCCGCTCAGATTCCCCTTCCGAAATCTTTTCCTCTTGTTGTTTTGTTTTCCCTTCATTTTGCACTCCTCCCTCCTCCCCTCTCCCCTCGCTCCACACTCCGCGGACCCATTCCGGAGTTGCCCTCAAACTCGTTTCTCTTTCCAACTCAATAGAAGCCGCCTTCTCCCCCGACGTCTCAAGTTCATCCTCAACGCGCTGCTACGCTTTCAGCTGTCCTTCGTTTTCCTTCACGAAGCCACTGCTCGCTCTTGATGAACATTGCTCTACGGCTCTGTTGATATCTTTTCGATTCTTGCTTCCCTGTTGTTGCTTGCTTATAGCTTTAATCTGGTTCGATTTCTTGTTTCGCGCGAAACTCCGACTTCGATCCCCCACCATCGCCTACGCCTTGACGGTTGCACTCCAGACGCCTCTCAGTCACATTCGCTTGACGCGGTAGCTGAGTATTGAATCGCATTGCGCAGCGATTCCATCATTCCGGGCTGGTCTCGAATTTTGGTCAACAAGCATCATTCCCATCATTATTTATACTCGGATCCAGGCTGCGCCTCGACCATTTCTTTCTTATTGAATCTGGCTAAACCTGTTGTTTGCACCTTCATCCTTTGCTTGCCACAAGTTTCGATTGCCATCTGCCAGACTTTTCGGTTCGCTTTGCAACGACTCCCGGCCGTTGAGCGCCATCGACTCGACTGACCTACCACGGTCACGTCACTATAGACAATACTCTCAGAACCCAGCAAGATGTATCCGCAACACTCCACAATGGCGCCTCAGAAGCCCGAAACTTTCATGCTAAGTACTGAGGCTCAGCAAGCTCTGCCTCATGATGCCCAAGTTGCCCTGCAGCAAGTTGACAACTGTAAGTTTGCCTGTGAGAAAATTGCCTCTTCTGACACTTTGTTAGTGAAGTACTTCCTCATCTCAGCCCCTGTCGACTGGCAGCCCGATCAGTACATTCGCCGATTCTTGTTGCCCACTGGCGAATACGTCTCTTGCATTCTCTGGTAAGATAGGACTGACTATGTTAATCACGAGTTTGGTCATTAACCTAACCACAGGAACAATCTTTTCCACATTTCTGGTACAGATATCGTGAGATGCCTGTCGTTCCGATTCCAGGCTTTTGGCCGCCCTGTCAAAAACTCCAAGAAGTTTGAGGAGGGTATCTTCTCCGACTTGCGAAACCTCAAGTCTGGAACCGACGCTTCTCTGGAGGAGCCAAAGAGCGCCTTCCTCGACTTTCTCTACAAGAACAACTGCATCCGAACACAAAAGAAGCAAAAGGTCTTTTACTGGTACAGTGTCCCACACGACCGTCTGTTTCTTGACGCGCTGGAACGCGATCTCAAGCGTGAGAAGATGGGTCAGGAAGCCACCACCGTTGCTGTCAGCGAACCGGCCCTGTCTTTTCAATACGACTCATCTCAGTCGCTCTATGAGCAACTGACTAAAGCGCAACAAGCCAACTCCTCCTCTTTCAGCGCCCAGCAGTCTGCTTTCTCTCAGAGCCAGTCCACCTCTCCAGTTATGCGTGCGATGGACTCGATGCCTCCCCCCCCAACAATGATGCCCCAGTCCATGCCCCCTTTGGCGGAGGGGATGGACGCAATGGTACCTTACGGCACGATGGCGGTGCCTCACCCAATGGCCCAAGCCGTCCCTGTTAAGAGGGAACCTGATTTCACCCGTGTTCAGTACAACCATAATGGTGTCCCAATCACTCAAGGGCACCAGCGCCATGCTTCCATGCCTGCTTATGGTCTCGAGTATTCGCCAGCCCCTTCATTCGTCTCCTCTCAGTACGAGGATTACAGCAACCGAGGAATATCTTTTGAACCCATCACTCCGCCTCAACAGGCATTGGGTATCTCGGCTGAGCCCGCGTATATCGCCAATGAGGAGACAGGCTTGTACTCGGCCATTCCTGACCATATGGCTAGCATGAACGGTCTTAACGGCATGGTTCAACTACCACCTTCCAACTTAGCGGGCCCTCAGTTCTCTCGTCCCTATGGTACAAACAACGTCTACTCTGTGATCGAAGGTTCACCGACATATAAGCAGAGAAGACGGCGTTCATCCATTCCTCCATCTATGTCGGCAATTTCGACCCCTGCTGCTACTGCCCAGACAGCCTCGCACACACACTCCCACCGGCCTTCTGAGCTTCGCCGATCAATTTCTGCCTCAGTTGGCCCCGTAGCTGAAGGCGATGAATCGGCAGACAACTCGCCCCCTGGTCTCTCCTACAGTACCTCCGCAGTTTCTGTTAACACCCAACACCACCAGAACATGTCAAGGCACGGAACCCCCCTGTCGAATGTGGAAGGAAGCCCTGCTGCCCATTCAATGGGTATGCACCAGCAAGAGTTTTCCCATCTCGCTGGCGATGAATTTTCTGGTGATGTCAATGATCAGCGGCGCTCTGTTGCTGCTCCCAACGGCGCTGTTAGACGTGCTCGCTCCGCGACCGTTATGGAAGTCGGTCCATATCCTCAGAAGTCACACTCTTGCCCCATCCCCACCTGTGGTCGCCTTTTCAAGCGTTTGGAACATCTTAAGCGGTAAGTTCTCTGTCTCATAGTAATGTGTAAAGACTGAACTGAAGGATTATAGACACGTGCGAACACATACACAAGAAAGACCTTACATCTGTCCCCACTGCAGTAAGGCATTCTCAAGATCTGATAACCTGGCCCAGTATGTTGCACACCTAACCATGTAACGGAGCTTTCACTAATACCCTATACTAGACACAAGCGTACTCATGGCCGTGAAGATGGTGGAGATGGTTCCTTGAACCTGTCAGGCGAGGAAGATGAGGATTTCTCTGGTGATGACCATCTTGGCTCACTCGAAGAAGCTTCCCCACACTCTGATAGCGCCTATGTGACCGGCTCCCTGAATGCTGCTGCGCATGGCTCGACCCCACCTTCAAGTATGGCGCCCACGCAGTCATATAATAGTCTCGAGACTCTCAGCATGCCCATGACAATGAGCCAACCGGCTGCTATTAACGCCAGCGGTATGATGTAACGGCAAACCTGCGTACGAATTTGTCATTTTAGTTGCGTCCAGATCATGACTTTAAGGGATTTATGGCTTCAAATTTGGTGGAAATTTGCAATGGTTATATGCGCGCGCTGTCCTTGACCTTTCCTTTGTTTATATTTTAAGTTCTCTTTTTACCTGGAAGCGCTTACATGTGCTTAAAATAAGGCCCCAATAGATTCATACTCTCACAGCTTCTGGGAAGATTCTCAAGCGGCCCAGAGCATTACGAACGTGTTCAGTTGAGATGGACTGAGGAAACATCTGTATATATATGGTTCCTATTCCTTGAATAAGACTGTATCCCGAGGCATTATGCCAGAGAGACTGTGCTGACTAGGAACGGTCACATGTGATAGATCAATAGAAGAAACTGTTTTCTTGATATATAAAAATGTCATACCAAAGGCTGTCGATTGAAGTGACGACGATGTCTTGCTGGGCGTACGAAAGTGGGTTCCAAATACCGTGCTAACGTCGGCTTCTTCTACCGAATGCATCTCTTCCACCCTCTATGCTCTTGATATCTTTGTCGCTCAAGCGCAGTTCTGCCCCCTTGAGTCTACCAACTCCCGGTCGGTCGACAGCAACATCCCTTCCCCTATCTCTACGCCCCTTCTTCTTACTAGTCTCTCGTTCGAGGATCACTCCGTTCTCCTTAGCTTCTCTCCGGCGCTTTGCTTCTCGCGCACCTGCCGCAGCAATAATACCCTTGCGCATGTTCATGGGCATCTTTTCTTGCTTGTGAATCGACACTTTGGATCCTAGAGCCTGGATGCGCAAGTCCGTAGCCTTTTGACGAGTGCGGCCTGTAGCAAAAGCCTTAGGTGTAATAGTGGTACCCGATGCTGAAATGGCCGGCGCGAGAAGATGTGATTCTGCAAGGAGTCGCCGGAGTTCAAGATCTTGGGCTAGGAGGGAGGGTGCGTCTTCGGGGAGAGTGTTTGAGGAGGATGAAGTTGCTGATAGAGACTGCTCGGTTTTGGGTGTTGTTTGCTCTGGAGGTCGTGATGACTGGGGAGTTTCCTATTAGTGCCATGTCCTACAGTGACCGATACGACGCAATCCATACCATGTAAGCTTTGAGCTCTCGTTTTGACATTGCCGCTGGTTTCGGCGGTTGCTTTCTCGAATGGTCAACGACCTGTATTGTTAGATTCTGTTCTTCCTCTGTAACAGAGCCTTCGTCGGAGAGACCACCCCATTCGCCGTCGTCCCCATCACTGTTGTCGTTATCCTCCTCTTCCTCGCTCTCGATGTCGTTGCTGCTTCCCTCATGTTTCGTCTTCTTGAATTTCGATTTAGCGGCTTCTGCCTCTGGCAGGGGTGCAAATTCCGCCTCGAAATGTCGTCTGAAAATGGCTGCAGCATCTTCTTGGGATATTAGAGGCTGAGGCTCAGCCTTGCGCTTGCCCAGGATAGCCATTGCGGGCAGATTTGTTTCAAGGTCAGCAATGGTAAGCACTGCGTTAGGATTATGATGTTGCAAGGAAATTTTGGCTGCTGTTGAGATACCAAATAATTTTCAGCCTCGCATCCCACTACAACAAGGCTGCCCCACTACCTACTAGGTAGGTACTTACCTAATGTGAGGAAGAATTTATGATCATCGTAAATATTACGAACAAAACAGACGCTTGGTATATAGTATTCAAGAACTCAAGAAAAACTAGTAATATTTGGGAGACCTTTTGATGTACCCAACATTGATTAACTTACACATGCCTAGTCCAATGGAATGGCAGGTCGATATACCTACTGACCTTGTGAACGCCCAAAATTTATTGAAAGTGATGCCCAGTCCCATGGTATCATGCCAAAACGCCAAAAAACAGCATAGGCGAATCAAGCTTTTCCAGCGAGCCTTGCCCTTCTCGAGTCCTCTTCTCTTAGGGCCTCGCTCTTTGCTAAGAAGTCTTCTCTGGCCATATATGAATCTTTGGACTTGCCAGCCAACTCAAGCTCATCCTTGATGCCTTCCTTGTCCACGTAACCAGCCCAGTCCATACGACTCTTCTCGACAACATTGAGTTTCTTGGCTTGTGCTTCTTTGCCAGCCTTGATCCGGGCGGCCATTCCAAGATTCAGATCTGCCCGATGGGGAAGAAGATCTACCTGAGGCTCGAAAGCTGATCGGAACGCCTTTCTCGTAACGTTCTTTTCAGTGCTATTCTTGGGTGCCTCTTGACCTTGTGAGGCAAGATAAAGCTTTGCTTCGGCTGAGTCACGCGGAACCATCTTTTCCTCTATGTGAATTCGACCAGCAAAGTTATACGTGCGTTTGATTCGAATCATTGTTGATGACTGGTCGGAAATTGTTGAATGCGATTTTTTCTCAGCTGAGTCGTTTGGCTCGCCAGTGAAGTAAGTACTTGTGTCTGCGCCGTTGGATCGCTCGTCCTTGGTTGCTGGAGTTGGTGGATTGGATATCATTTGTGCCCATAACGCATCAACATCGATACTGACCGGCTCGTTGTTTGTCGCATATTGACGCTCTTCTTTCCTGGTTGTCCTTGTCAGTAAAACGCACGGGGGATGCAAATATCAGAGGCATACTCAGCGGCACGCTGTCTACGAGTCTTGATCAGACCGCCCTCACCCTCGTCGTGGTCGCGTGCGTCTTTTGCTTGCGTTTTCTTACGACGCTTCTCACCCCTTTTTATGATCGCCTCATCACCCGAATTGTCATATCCTGCATCGGCTTCATCTTGTGGGCGACTTCTTTTGTTAGCTGTTTTGTCGCTGGAATATTCCAAGTTGGAGTGATCGGAAGTCTGGTCGGGCGAATCATCTAGAGCGAAGTCTGAGTCCTCTGAGGATACATATGATTCATCTTCGTCCAATAGAGAATCTGAAGGCATTCTGGTAAATGTGGTGTTGGAGCTTGGAGCCCTGTTATTGTCGCGTAAAGTTGAGATAACATAGTGAGGTGACGTGCAGGTCTACTCTGGGTCAAGAAGTGGGTCGTGGTAGGCAGCCAATCAATCGATCAATCAATATGTATTGCTTTCATCACTCGGTGATGGGAGACACGAAATATACTCCTTGTAGGATGTTTGTATTAATCAGTACCTATTCAGCGATTTCGTCTAAGGGCGATATCGTGAATTAACTGGCAAAACAAGAATACACCTGTACCATGTGGTTATCGAAACTCAAGGTCCTTTCATTAAGAATAGGCGATTAATTTCTTTCTTTCATAGGGATGTGCGTCGAGTACCTGGCAGTCCATCTATCGGTGATTTGAAGATACGGCATCAGACCATGCTTCACCATACCTTAGTGGCATACCGAATGTAGCACAAGGACTAATGACACTTCAGTAACCACTGGTAACTCGTCCTAAACAGAATGGGAACTATTAACGACCATAGAAATGTAAAAGGCTACGCAGACTGGCCAGTACCACCAACCTGCCAAAGCCCATCGGTGGCTTTCGTAACAGCAGTGGGTGAGATTCATTTGGTTGGCAAAGAGATAATGTATCGATTTATGTACCTACCTAAGGTACCTTAGGTAGGTACCTTAGATATTCTTCGTCCTGAATGGAACTAGGTAGGTCAATAAAAGGAAAAGAACCGGGGCGGTCGACAAACCCAACCAGCGCTGCCCAGGCAAAGTTCAACCAGACCAGACCGCCTGCCTACTGCCCCGACTACTTACTTCATTCGTAAATGACTCCCACGGAACCTTGTCTTTCTTTCTCTGCCTCCTGTTTGGCGATCGATACCCAACCACGCTGTTTGCCATGAGTTCCGACGATGATTTCGAGATTGAAGTTTCCGAACTGGCAGCAGACGATCCTATGAGATCTTTCTTGCCCACATCCTTTGGGAAGAAATCGAAAGAGGCCGATGTCGCAGCCCAAATCGAAAGAAGTCGCAGAAAAGTCGCAGAAGTCAGTGGTGGAAAGAAGAAGCAAGATTCTAGTGATGACTCCGACAGCGACAACAGCGACGATTCCGACCAAGATGAATTCCCTGTATCACACGAGCTTGTTCTTAAAACCCACGATCGCGCTGTCACCACAGTCTCGCTAGATCCAGCAGGAGGACGTTTAGCAACTGCTTCCACAGACTGTACTGTCAAGTTGCATGATTTTACTTCTATGACTCCCAGCACGCTGAGATCTTTCCGATCCGTCGACCCCTACGAAACGAAGGCATCCGACGTTAACTCGCAATCGCATCCTATCCACCGCATAGAATTCAACCCTCTAGCAGGAGGTGTCCTTCTTTGTGTGTCAGCGCATCCCCAAGCGAAGATACTATCCCGGGACGGCGATATTGTTACAGAATTCGTCAAGGGAGACATGTACCTTCGTGACATGCACAACACCAAGGGCCACATATCCGAAATCACGACTGGAACCTGGCACCCCACTGACAAGAACTTGTGCGTAACTGCGGGTACAGATAGCACACTGAGAATTTGGGATATCAACAATAAACGGACGCAGAGAGACGTCGTTGTGTTCAAGTCCAAAGCCGCTGGCTCTGCTGGTCGAACCAAGATGACCGCTGTTGCATGGGGATCGTCGCCCCAAGGAAGCAGCAACGTCCTTGTCGCAGCAGCCTTGGATGGCTCGCTGGTCATGTACAGTGGCAATAGTCCTTTCTCACGACCCGCAGGAGAAATTCGCGACGCACATAAACCGCAATCGTGGACCGGTGGCATTGATATATCGTCCGACGGTCGCATGGTAGTCACAAGAGGAGGCGACGATTTGATCAAACTTTGGGACACCCGCAAATTCACGAAGCCTCTCGTCACAGTCGCACATACCTCAACGTCAGACCATTTCCCAACGAGCAACATCAAATATGCGCCAAACTCGACAAGCATAATCACGGGCTCCGCGACCGGCCATCTCCATATTCTGAATCCTGGCAATCTGCGCCCAGAACTTGTCACTGAAATAACACCTGGGTCACCACTAATCGCAGTGGATTGGCATCCGAAGATTAATCAGATCGTTACAGGTT